GGCAGTGCCGAGTCGCGTGGAGGCCGCCTTTTGGCTGGCTGGCTGCCAAGCCCTCAGTCCCCTCCGAGCTTTGGCCGGGCTGGCCGTCGGGTGCTACCCCCTGCGTTTTGCACGGAACGCGGGCATCTCTCGGAGTCTCAGGACTGAGGATGGATGCCATCTGCACCTGAGAGAAGAGTTGCCATGGTAACGCGTTTTCTTTCAGTCTAAGAATTGCGGGGGTTCTCGTGAAATGACCGGACCCCAGCCCTGCCTTCCAGAGCCGTGCTTTCCCGCCGCAGCCGTGGCCACCTGCGAGACCGGCACCTTGGTCCGCTCTCGGGGCTGGAGCCTTAGGACAGTGATCTGGGCGCTTGCTGTGAAGATGAGGCGGGAGGGCACGGGCCCTCGGTCTGGACTGTCAGACACTCCTGGGAAGGGCGCGGGAAGCAGAGCTGAACCTGACCAGGCCTTCTTTCCAGTCTTTGCTTTTGTTTTGTTGAGCAACTTCCATACCCAGAGAATGGTCTGTGATGGGGAAAAAGAAACCACAGAAAAACAAGCTCTTATCCCCAGGATACCAGCTCGGGCCACCAGGGACCAGCTATTATTGTTGCTGAGGCCCCAGGTCCCTGGGCAGGATGCAGGATTCTTCTCTGCAGATGCAAAGTAGACGTGAGCCCCGTGCCACCACCGGGACTGTCACCCGCCCCACCCCCACCCCCTAGAAAGAGACCTGCCTGACCAACCCCCTTATGAGGAAAGGCTCTTGGAGGAAAACTTTTGTGCAGGGAATTCTTGCATTTTATGCCCAGAAAAGCCCGCAGCCCCATCCCTAAGTCCTGGGCTTGCAAAACTCCTCCTGTAGCCACACTTCTCTGTGAAACAGAAAACCTTCACTTCCAGCTTCCCATTGGATTTCTCCATGGGGAGCCCTTTGGAACCATTCACAGTTCAGCTGGGCTTTGAACCATCTTGAACTTGCTCTTCATTCTCTAAGGGCACATCATCCTCTTGGCTGTAAACTCCTGCTCTTCAGCCTTGACCCAAGTCATTCGCCTTTCTCCCTGTTCTAATCAGGCCCCTCTGTCCCAGCTGCTGGCATTCTGGAAGTCTGCATCCTGGATGTCTCTGATAGCCTTTGGCCTCCTTCCTCTCCTGCCAGCTTGATCTTTCCAGAATGGCTGGGACCCTAGGCTCCTGCCCAAGTCCTGACCATTGCCTGCTGAACTGGGTGCTCAGGGCCTGAGTAGAGTAAAGGGGGTCTCAAATTAATCTAACAGACCAAGCCTCCTTCTAGAACCTCCTGCATCAGCCCTTTCTCAAGCTGTTGATGTTCCAAATTCCTCTAAGACCCAGCTCATCCCTGTATTGTGCCATTTACTGCTCTAAAACCCAACCAAAGCATACCCGTTGCTGTTGAGTTGATTCCAACTCATGGCAACTCCATACGGTACAAAGTAGAACTGCCCCATGGGATTTTCTTGGCTCTAATCTTTACAAGGGAGCCTGAGTGGCACAATTAAGCTGTAAACTGCTAGCAGAAAGGTCAGTGGTTCGAACCCATCAGCCACTCCATGAAAGAAAAGACGTAGTGATCTCCCATGAAGGTGACAGCCTAAGCTATCCTTTGTGGCAGTTCTGTGTCCTATAGAGTGACTGGGAGTAGAAATTGACTTGACAGCACACGACAACACAGACCCCGGCCCTCTCTCACATAGCACCACTGGGTGGGCTCGAACTGTCAACCTTGAGGTTAGCAGACAAGTGCAAACCATTTGTGCCACTGAGGAACCTTCAAACATTCTTTGCTGAGGCCTGGGATTGAGTGGTAAACTCAGACAAAAGCCCTGGTTAGGGAGCAATAAAGATATGAACAAACAACCCAATCGATGTTGATTCCAACTCAGCCACGTACTTGTTGTTATTAGGGGCTATGAGGCTGGTTCTGACTCAGCGACCCCACACACAACAGAATGAAACGCCGCCCAGTCCTGGGACATTCTCACAATGATTGTTTGGGGCCATTATTGCAGCTGCTGTGCATCCCATCAAGGAACTTCCTCCTTTTTGCTGCC